CAAAAGGTGTCAGACGCAAAACATTTCAGAAACCGTATGTATCAAATATGATACATTTGGCATTATAGGGTTAAGAACCGCTTCACTGCTGAGCCATCTGCTGAGTGGAGAGTTTCTAATCAGAAACATCATGTCTGAGGTCACCATAAGAACTGGTTGAGCCTGGACAAGGCGAGGACTTGATCGTGTCAGGACTCTGGCTGCAAAGGAAGCTAATGATTAGGATTATTGCAAGGAGGCCTTCCAACCTCCAAGACCTGGAGCTCAACATTTAAGATAAACCATCAAATAACAGTGGAAACTGTAAACACAAATATTCTTTAATCAAATATTTATTTACTTTATTCCAATTAAAAAAAAAATAAATAATCCAAGTATCTGGGGAAAGAAGGAGGATAATCTTGAATAAAAATGGATCATAAATATCACCAATTCTAGGATTACCTTGACTTGATTAATGTTTTTATTAATTGTTGTTTATAAAGATCTTTGCTCACTTAAATGAGTTCTGTTTCATTCGCAATCATTTTAAAAGCCCAATTAAATGATAAATTATGACCAAATTTCTTTTTTTACTCCATATTCTGAGAATTTTACGAAAGCAAAACACATTTAAAGAGCAAACATTAAATCAGCTTTTAAAACAAAAAATATATTTTTAATACAATATTATAATATCCTTTTTTTTTTATTTGTTATTAATCTAATCTGGACTGGACTGGAGTAATTTCATTACTTTGTTACACAACATCGCCCTCTGCTGGCTGTCCATGGAGAACCTTCAGAGTGAGTTTAAACAGCCAAAGGAACCGGGTCAGTTATCTTCAGTAAACTCAGAACTTTTAAGATGTTCTGTTTTTATGCTGGGTCTGATATGTCGTCAGCTCATTCTGGGCAGATATAGCAGATGTTGGACCACAGACACATCTTAAATTCCAAGAAGTGCCGTGTTAGATGGATATGAGATCAATCATGTCCTTCAAAATTGCTATACAGTAGCAGCCATTCAAAACTTCTCCACTTTCCTTGATGGACCCTTGGCTGGCCCTCGGATGGACCTTGGCTGGTCCATTCATATTTAAACATCAATATTTGTACTAAAATATTCTTTCAGTCATGATTTTTGGACATTAAGATCTAAAGATCTAAGATCTGGCTTCCCATTGAATACGGCAAAACCTTTTAACTTCTGGTTCTGACCTTTAGAGTCCTGCATAGATAGGCTCCGGGTTCCATTCATAATGATTCAGCCTCACTTTTCTGCTTTCAGTCTGAGATCTGCAGAAAAGAACTTGTTAACGGTTCCTCCGACCCCTTTTAGGACGAGAGGTGTCTTTCCAAAGAGTTGCACCCAGACTGGGGAATGATCTACCACTGTACCACTTGGTGAACATAATGGGTGATTTAAAAAAAGAAAATTAACCAAACATATTAGACTCATTTTATCAAGGGCTGCTTTGATTTTATGGATTTTATCTATATGTATTTTATATGGGGCAGATTTGTATTCTATTACCTCATATTGTGCAAAACTTTGCGACGCTTCTCTAAAGAAGGTGCTATATAAATAAAAACCTTACTTACTTACTTTCCCTTTGGTACAACAAAAAGTATTTCTGCTCTAACAATCATTTATGTTTTCTCTTTTGTTTCATTGTAGATAAAACCACATGATCCAGTCGGTTTAAAATATGACCAAATCTGCTTGTACTTAATTTATTAACTTTGGCTGAATAGAGCGGCCATTTTCAATGGGACAATGAAACAAATCCCGCTCTTGTTCCCAAGAAGATTAAACTTCTTCCTGATTTTTTTGGCATCAAACCCAAAGGAATTTCCAAACTGAATGCATTAGCTTCCATTCATTTTATTAGGAGAACATGTAAAAATCCTCTTAAAGGTTTGGACCTAAAGGGATTTCCATGTTATCTGATTTATTGTTCTAATTAAAATACTTGAGGCTTATATCATTGCTGGATGAAGATAATAATCATATTGTTTGTCCTTTAGTTGCTGCGTCTGATCAGATGGAGAGTTGTTTGGTGACCTGGAGCTTAGCCTCTATTTTCCTGCAGGTTTCTCTGCGCTTTCTGAGTACAACTTTTAATATGAAATTATTCCACTTTTCTGACTGAAGTATGTAAGTGAAATAGTTTCTGATGCTTCATCTTATTTCTGACTCTGTTTCTATTGTTCTCTACAGTTTTCTCTGTAAAGGATTCCAGTAAGGAGAATGTTTTTGCATCTTAGTCGTCCTTTCTGTGACTTCAGAACCAATCCTTGTTTGAATTCCTCTGTTGGTGTTTCTCCATAATCTCCTCTCTGCTCCTCCCACCAGCTGAATAAAACTCCCAAAGGTCTCAGTTTCACACTGCCCTGCATCTCACCATGTTTCCTCCACATCTCCTTGCTCTTATATTCATCTCCTCGGCAACATCCCAGCCTCCACCTGAGGAGGAAGAGGAGGAGAAGAAGAAGGAGAAGGACAGGTATGACCTGATGTTCAGCAGGGGGGACCTGCTGGAAGTCCCTCGGACTCTCTTTACTCACTTTGGGATTTACCTGGGTGGAGGCAGGTGAGTCTGACGCTGCGCTCTGATTGGTCCTCAGGAGGTTAGAATGTAGAAAACCTTACTTCAAATGGTTTGTTCTCTGTTCCTGTGTTTCTTTTACCTCTTTCCTTTTACTTTATTTGCTCTGATTCGATTTTATGCCATGTTTTAAAAAAAAACCCTCTTTCCAATCCATAATTGCCTACTTTAATTTCCCCCTTTCTTTATCGTCTCTTTACCTTTTATTTTCTCTTCATCTTGTGCTACAGAGTGGCTCATTTCATCCCTGACATCCTGCCTGTCGTCTCCAGTGACCAGTGTCGGATTAAACAAATGGTTACCAACACAAGACTCATACTGGGAGTACTAGTTAAGGTAAGCAGAGTTGATCTTCATCTTTTTCTTTCATTAGTTTTCAGAAACCAGGAGGATCTTCAAAAGGGTAGATGGTTAGCCTCAGTTTCTGATAACTATTTTTTTTTAAATCTTTTTTATTAATCATTTTTTTTATCAGCTGAATTGTTCATAAAAGAACCAAAGTTCACCTTGCAGTGTCTCTCTTGACCAGCAGATGGCAGTGTTGCCTGGTAATTGCAATGCCCAACAAAACCCGCTGCTGAAACTGCATCGCTTCTGTTAAAGTTGTAGGGAAATCATATTTAAATGTAAAATCATTCCGGCTTAAACATGTATATAAATGTACTCTTTATCAAATGAAATTGTCCCAAACATTAGGAAAAAAATGTTCTGTCTTAAATCTGTGGGTTTTTTTCATTATCATATGCAGGGCAGTTAGTTATACGTCAGCCTGTGAACCTAAATTCGGCCAATCATATATCAACGGTCATCTGTCAATCAAATTTTTTCAGTCATAGCATCTTGATTTATATGTCGCAGCTAATATGCAGCGTTGCGAGGCAAGGGCTCAAACATGTACGGCTGTAAGCCTTCTACACCAAACCAAGCTTCT